TCAAAAAAAAAAAAAAAAAAAAAAGACTGTAGCTCTGTTCTCAGAAAAGAATAGGAATGTTCATGGAACCTGGTGGCCTGTGGGTGGAGCCTCCTCTGATGGGCAGTACTGCTGCCAGCTCTGAAAGGTCAAGAATAGACCCCTGAACCCAGGCAGCCCCATCCTGGTGTCACATGAGTGAGTCATGATGGGTTGTAGCACTGTGTGACCTGATTTGCTTATTACAACCAAACATCTGAGCTCTCAAGTGGTACCCACATCCTTGAAGGTAGTTTAGTTTAGTGCCACCCACCAAGGATGGGGACGAGCCACTGTTGCTGCACACCCGGGCACCCGGCAGCTCAGACAGCAATGGTCTCCCTGACCTCAGGAGGACCTGTCTAAAACAAACTGCATAACTGCCTTATTATGGCCACTGTGGATGCCTCCACCAGGACCAGGGCCATCCCATGGTCCCAACGGGTGGGTGGTGACAGCTGCCCTGCAGAGGGCTCCAGTTACTTTCACTCGAAACATGGGGAGTGTCTTCTCAGATCAGGTGGCTGTGGGCCCAAGCTGGCCCTGGGCAGAGCACAGAATCCCAGGGCTTTGAGGAGGGCTGGCTGCTAACTGCATTCTTAGCAGAGACACAGAGGCTCACTGCAAGGAGACGTCTTTGTCTTGGGAACCACACACAAGGCATAGCCTCTCCATGAGGGCTCTGCTTAGCTGGAGAAAGTGAGGACACCTCTGGCTGACCTTGGGAGATGAACAGAAGTCTACTGGCCACAGGGGCTCAGATAGGCCTTGGACTTAGGGGTGCCCACTGGGGATTCAACAGCACAGCTGGAGAGCGGTGTCCACCACTCAACCGCACAACATTAAAGTGGGTGGCAGAGAGGAGGTGACTCTTCCCCCAGCTTCCTACACATGGCTGAAGTCCCTACTGCCAGCAGCTGCACAGCCCAACACTCTCAGAGTCTCCTTCTGTGAGGGCCACACTGGCTGACATACCTGCATCCGCCTGATGACAGCATGGTGCACCCTGCACATGTCAGCCAGGGACGAGCTCTCCACTTGTATCTCCAAGGCCTGGATGGGCCCTGCCAGGCACATGTCAGTCACAGCCACCTGGGACACAGGAGGACCCTCACTGTCTGCCCACAGCCCCGCCCACCAGCCATTGCCAGGCTACAGGGCGGCGCCTCCTAACAGCAGCACATGAGGCCCCACCCCACTCTTGGGTCTTTCCACCTGAAGAACCGGCCAGCCCCTTTGGAGACAGATGTGTCCAAGAAGACCCAAGGAACTCCCCTGGGGCTTTGAGCCAGATCAGAGCCCACCCGGAGAGAAGCAACCTTTGTGCCCATGTGTCCATGGACACAGTGGCCTGCAGCCCTGCCCATGCCCTCAAAGGCTTGCAGGCCTGGATGCTCACCCCATGCTGTGCAGCATGGATCACCTGGCAGCAGGGCAGGGTTTTTGTGTGAACAAAGACGCTGCTGTGCCCATCTAAGGGCTGCGAAGCATTCCTGGGAGGCTGTGACTACTGATCTGGACAACAAAACCTGGCCAGAAGCCCTGGCTCGTTCTCCACACACGGAACACAAGCAAGATAGGGGGCCTAGAGGCTCAGGAAGGACTGACCACAGAGCCACTGCCAGACCCTAGCATCAGAGTCCAGGGATGTCCAGACCTAGATGCTGACCTGGCCTGAAAAGAGTTGGGGAGGGGGTGCAAACCAAGAAACCTGGCTCTGGAGCAGACCCCAAGCTGGGCAGGCTCATCCACTGGGGACACATATAAGTCCTGGCAGTCTGGGTTACTCTGTAGGAAGCTGTGCCTGTGGGACATGAGTGAGGGTCTGCTGGAGGTGACCCTGGGTACCACAGCCAGAGGGCCATGGAAGGCAAGTGTGCAGAAGGTGGGGCTCAGCAGCACCCCCTGGTGGTGCAGGGTTAGTGGGCCCTGGGCTGGGGACACACCCTTCCCCAGGGGCACCAAGGGAAGCCTCTTTGGTAAGGGGCCAGGGAAGGGAACCTCCTTGGGAGGAGCAGTCCTCCTGGAGACCTGCCTGAGGGAGGTTTGCTCAAGTGCAGGTGGGGCCCACCACCCCAGAATCCTCTAGAGAGCTCACAGACAGCCCCTGGGCCCACCCCACAGCAAGCTGGTCTGTGTGGGGCCCAGGATCTGATTGCTCCTGAGCTGCCAGCCCAGGGAGTCCACTCTGATAACCGCTGGTGTCAAGGTGGGTCTCCCCACAGACAGGAGCGCTGACCCCTGCTTGCCTCACGGACGATGAGTTGGACGTCAGCACCGTCTGGGGCCATGCCCTGGATGGAGGACAGTGCTCGGGCCCTCACAACGTCCACAGCGGCATTCTCAGCGAGCAGCCACTGCAAGGTGGCACAGCACAGGGGCACACCTGGAGGAGGCAGCAGCCGAGAGCTCAGAAGGATCCCACCACACGGCATTGGGTGCTCACCCCACGGTGCCCCTCCAGGAGCCCAGTGGCCCACAGCCCACCCTCGGTAAGCAGCCTGGATAGCTAGCTGGAGTCAGAGCATGCCCTGACTGTCTCTGGGGAAGAGTTTACTGCAAAGTGGTCTTCTGATTAATTAAGGGGAGTGCTAGCCTCCCCCCACCCCTGGAAGGACCTGGCAGTGCTCCTGGGGGCTGGTCCTTACTGCAAGGTGGCCTTCTGATTAATCAGCAGGAGTGCTAGCCCCTCCCACCCCCTGGAAGGACCTGGCAGTGCTCCTGGGGGCTGGTCCTAGAACAGGCAGTTCTATACTACCTGGCACCAAGTACTCCTACAGGGTGGCTGCAACTACCCCTTGTACAAACCCAAATCCAGAAACTCCCCCAAAGACATTTGTAGAACAATGACATTTGCAACTGGGACCCAATCCTGCCACAAGATCCACCAGTCACATTAACACAACAGTCTCACAGTCTCACACCTGGGAGAAAAAGCCAGCCACAAATAAGAAGAGATATACACTGACCCTAGCCCAGCCCCAAACAGCCCTGCTGACCAGGCTGTGGGCTCAGGCATGGCTGCGCAGGCTTCCCCCAGGTGCTCACAACATGGAAACTCACCCAGCCACCCTTCTACACAGGTCTACTTCCCTGTATTTAGGTTAGGCTTCTATACATAGATTTTAAAAACCACAATTTGGCTTGACGCCAGTAGCACAGTGGTTACGGCACCAGCCAAATGCACCAAGGTAGGTGGGTTTGAACCTGGCCCAGACCAGCTAAACAACAATCACAACTGCAACAAAAAAATAGCCAGGCACCATGGTGGGTGCCTGTAGTCCCAGCTACTTGGGAGACTGAGGCAAGAGAATCGTTTAAGCCCAAGAGTTTGAGGTTGCTGTGAGCTGTGACACCGACTCTATCAAGGGCAACATAGTGAAACTCTGTTCCTCCCCGCAAAAATAAAATAAAAATAAAAATAAAAGTTTAAAGTAAAAAAGGTGGAGGGAGAGCAACATGAGCCCAGAGCCCAACAGAAAGCACAATGCAGATGCAACTCCTTTCCTAACAGAGCACTGAGGACCCACACAAGAGGGGGGAACAACCCACAGGAGGCCAGGAAGTGCCACCAACCTGAGCAGCTGTCTTCAAGAGCAGCCCTGAGCAGCTCTGCAGACACCCTGATGCAGGCTACTGATGGGGGCAGGTATGCAGCCCTCAGGGAGGAAGGTCCTGCCACTTGGCTGCCTGGCTCCCGACAAGCTGCCAGGAAGGTATCCACGGGGTCCGTTGGGTTGAGCAGAGCAGAGGCCTGTGTGCAGGATGGGGCCAGGCCAGGAAAGCGGAGGGTCTGCAGCAGGTCGACTGTGTGTCTGCTGAGGGGCAGGCAGACGCCCTCCTGCTCGGGTAAGAAGTCTGGGGGCTCCTCATCCAAAAAGGGGTCCTCGAAAGAGTCTGAGGGGGCAAGGGCCCCACCCACGACTTCCCGAAGGCTGTAGAAAAGTGTGCAGGACACGGTGGCAGGCAGGTCGAATGTGCCATTCTCCCCTGGGCCCAGGGGCAGTGTCACCTCCCGCCGGCTGCCAGGGCTGAGCTGGTCCATGGGGATGGTGTAGGTGATGGCCGAGCCAGCAGAGTCCAGATCCAGGGCAGAGGAGCTGGTGAGCACCTCGATGCACAAGGCCCAGCCCCGGCCCAGGCTGAAGGTGCTGTTGTTCTCTAGCAGGCAGGTCACTGTCAGCATGTCCTGTAGCTGCAGGCGGCTCCAAGCTGTGGTAGTTGTGCAAGAGATGGGCTTGGGGCCCTCCCGGCTGGACAACAGTGCGCAGCTCACATTCATGGCCTCGTTGAGGCTTGTCAGGGCCTTGTTCCGCTGGTCAACTGCTCTCTTCAGAAAAGACACTCTGCAAAGAACAGATGTGGCACCCAGGGGAAAGGGAAGAGATACCCAAGGCTGGAAAGAACAGGAACCCGGTCCTATAACAAGTATGAGGTGGGTGTAAGCCCCTCTGAGGAATGAGGCCCCCTCCCTGGCCCCAGAGGAGGACAAAGATAGGGCTGGTGCTGTGCCCAGTTTGCCTGGCTAGTCCATTGAGCTCCAGAAGGCCATCACCCACATCAGGTCTGCTCAGGGCACAAGAGGTACCTGTGAAGGAGCTGGCATCAGCCCCACCCTGGGCTCCCCCAAATGCTCCTAGCTGGCATCTCTTCTTTGCAGACTCCACAGGGGTGGGGGTGGCAGAACTATGGAAACAGTTCCAACCATTGAGACCTAGAGTCTGCCTTTTTTTTGCTCTTAGGACCATAGCAGCCAATGAGGGATCCCAGGGGAACCCACATGTTCTCTTTGGACAGCCCCTATGGGCCAGCATTGAGGAAGAACCAGAGACAAAGGCCTCTGAGGAGGGAGTGTCCAACAGGGAGGATGCGGAATGAGCAGGGGCAGTGTCCCATGACCCCTTAGGGAGAGGGTGTGGGGTTGCTGAGAAATGGTATCCCTTTTATCTTCCAGAGGCAGTGGCCTTGGGTGCAGCCTGTGACCAGGCAATGTAACGTCTGGGACCCTCAAAAGGGATCCAAAAGGCAAGTGCCAGTCTGGCACTGCCCACCACCTGAGGATGCCAGACATAGGACTGCCCTACCCACAGATATCAAGACAAAAGGACAGCTCCCAGAGAATGCTACCTCTTTTTTTTTTTTTTTGAGACAGAGCCTCAAGCTGTCGCCCCAGATAGAATGCTGTGGAATAATAGCTCACAGTAACCTCCAACTCCTGGGCTCAAGTGATTCTCCTGCCTCCGCCTTCCAAGTACCATGTTTCACCGAAAATAAGACACTGTCTTATATTT